AAACCTGGTCTGTAGAACAATTAAGTCTCAAACACCAATAAACCAGCTGATGCTGCTTTGACTAGCAGAGGAATCGCTGATACAGATGCCCTAGCCATGATGAGCAAGCTCTCACTGAGTACATACAGTGCAGTATTCCTGCAGTGCTAACTATATTTACCCGACTGTAAATAAAATCATTGATTATTGTGCCCATTGCTTAGATAACACTGAAAGGTGTACTTCCTGAACAAAAAGCTGGAAATTGGTTTTAAGACAAAGCAAATGAACCAAGAGAACTGGGATTATTAAACACGTATGAACTGTGTGGCTTGATCTGAAATTTCCCCTGCCCAGGTTTGTATTATGAATGCTTGCTCCTCTATTCCTCAGGAACTGGTACTAATTTGGGGTCTGTAGGATCTTAAGGGTTGGACCTAACTTGTGGAAGGTAGGAATGGGCCTTTCAAGGCCTTAGGCTAGCTGCTGCTTCTGACATACTGTAGAGCCTCGACTCCATGTTCCAGACACCACAGACCAAGTCACTCTGTTGTGTGCTTTTGCCTTTATAATGGACAAAAACCTCTAAAATCATAAGGCAGGATAAAATCTTCCCTTTTTGTTCCTGTCATGTATTTTGGGTACAACAATGAAAAAGTTTGTTATTTGTAGCCATCTTTCATCATAATTATCATTTTCATAGAAGCCAAGAAAGCAGTGGCTCACTCTCCCTCAGGAAAGATAAACACTTTCTAAAGATATGCTGGAGTACTTTTCTCTACAAAATTTCTGTGACCCTAAAAAATCACATTGAAAGAATCAGACAATAACATGAGGTGTTTTGAGTCAAAAGTGCACTTGTTCAGCCTGCTGGAGTTACACAAGATGATAGCAAGGCTGAAATGGATGGAAAGCCAGTTTTCCACTCGGCACTGACAGGCTGTCTGAAGGATGTGTGCCTCTGGCTGCGGAGCTCTGAGGTTGCACTTTGATCTGAAGGCATGAAAGGCATGATGTCAGCTTGGTTCACCCTCTCCTCACCCAGCAAGTTAGCCTTTACCCATTTTTTTCATTCAGGCACTAACCAGCTAAGTGACCAGAAAGCTAAGCAAACAGGCGGCAAGGATGTGGTAGAAACATCTTATGCTCCCTGTGCTCTGGAGAGTCCATTGCGGGGGTTGGAAGGTAAGCTTTCTTTTGTTCTGGATGGAAACTGCAGCAGGTGCCAGGACCTTCCCACTCACCCGAAGGTCATCAGGAATCACTTAAATGTATTAAACCCCCCAACCATTTTTATAGTAATATTTCGAATTCCAACTCTTCCTTACATAGTCTTCACACCAAGACTTAAAGTAGGGTGCACATCAGGATTGTCTTCAACAGCAACTAATCCCCATAGCTTCTGACTGTAAGGAAAGAGAGAGCTCTTACGGGTACTGATGCCACCAAAAGCTGGCAACCAGTTCTATGGGCCCAGACTGTTGGAAGTTTGCTCTACCCTGTGTTAGCTGATGGGTGGCAGCCTTGAAAGAATGTCTCCATACTGGAGATGAGGCTGGGGTGTAGCTCTGTTGTTTAGCTCTTGTCTAGCCTGTGCAAGGACCTGGATTTCATCCTTATCACTACAAAACAAGGCAATCCTCCCCTTCCCCCAATCCGGGAGGTGTCTCTCTTGCCAGTCCCCAGGCCTTTGGTGAATGCATTCTGAAAACAACCTCTGTGGAATATAGCATCTATTTAGGGCTCCTGGGGGCTTTGTGGAATATTAGTTTAAGCTGTATTAACTCATCTATGCCACGTAATGTTTGTTTAATGATGCAAAGATGTGTTGCATTCTTTTATGTTACATTTGTTTAACTCTGTGAAGCTGTGTTACTCTTCCTGTTTAAAACACCTGGTTGGTCTATTAAAGAGCTGAACGGTCAATAGCTAACCTGGAGAGGGATAGGCATGGCTGTCAGGCAGACAGGATAAACAGAAGGAGAAAAAGAGAAGAGGGAAGAGTGAGAAAAGGAGGAGAGGAGGATGCCAGGGGCCAGCCACCCAGCCACATAACCAGCCATGGAGTAAGAAGGAAAGAAAGGAACATAGAATAGAGAAAGGTAAAAGCCCCGAAGCAAAAGGTAGATGGGATAATTTAAGTTAAGAAAAGCTGGCTAGAAACAAGCCCATCTAAGGTCGGACATTCATAAGTAAGACTAACTCTCCATGTATTTATTTAGGAGCTGGGTGGTGGGCCCCCAAAGATCAAAGAGTTAAAAAGAAGCCAGAGGGACCTTCCATGGAGGTCAATTTACTAGACAGAACAATGAGGACTAGCCAGTTGCTCTCGTGGGCAGCTCGTCTCTGGCACACAAACAGAAATCAATTCCTTTCATTTTGCTCACAAACACAGGCAGGGCCAGCAGACTCTGACAGGAAAGCCTTGTTTGTGGTGCCAGAATCTGCACAGCAGCCATGCACATCTCTCTACCTGAACTATAGGATGGCAGCCTCTGCCTGGCACCCTGCAACCGAAGGAGCCCAGCCATTCCATCCCCAGGAAGTCCCAGAAAGATCAGAGGACAGGCTGCATCCAGAATCTGCTCTTTACAGCCCTGCTCCTTGTCCATAGTCTGATCACTCAGAACTCGAGACTTGTTTTCAAAACCATCCTGTCTGCCAACTCACACATGTATTGAATTTGGACTCCTGGTGAGAAATTCCATTACACCACAGCCAGAGCAGCCCAAGACACTCGGCTGACTGTTAGAAGTTCTGCTTTTTCCAGCAACTGTTACCCCTGGCTACACTCTGGATATCCTTTCCCCTTGGAAAGTGAAGGACCTCTATTCCAAGTTCATCCAAAATTATTAATCCATATTGATAATTCTAATAGCCTTCTATGCACACACACACACACACACACACACACACACACACACGCACGCACGCACCACTGCTACTTAGGAAGCACTCTCATCTAAAACTCATTGCGCTGAATTTAATCAAGTTGCTGAGACAATGTGCCAACTCACAGATTCCACCCGAGAAAGAGAAATGAGTTATATGACTCAGATGTCATCCATCAGAAGGGCGAACTGCTGTAGGAAAAAGGAGACTACGTCTCCATCAAAGCAATGCCATGAGAAAGGAAGAGGAATAAGTGACTGAATGCATAACAAAATAAAGTTGCAAGACATAGTAATAAATTATGGAGTGGGGGTTGTGCTCACATATGAGTTTGAAAAAAAAACAATAAGAAGATAGCTTTGAAGCCACTGGGGAAATTTGAATGTGGATTAGGTATTGCACGGTATGACGATCCAATACACTTGGGAACAATAATGCTATAATGGTTGTGAAAATAAAAGTCTTTTTCAATTAGAAGTGTATATGGCAGATTTTATATGTAAAATGGCATAATGCCTGATAATTGCCTTAACATATTTCTACAGATGTTTTTAAATAGCCAGGGATGGTGGCACAGCCCTGTGCCTCGGTACTTGGGAATACGAGGTAGGTGAAAATTGCTATGAGTTCAAGGCCCTCTAGGCTATGGAGTAAGACCCCAAACAAATGGTTTTAATAAATGGGAGCTCAAGAGGGACACACGGAGATCAGCAAAGTGTTAGCATTCGTTGGGGCTGGGTGACAGGTTCAGGGAAGTTCATTATACTTTATTTGTGTGATGTGAAGAATTTAAGGATAAAACATCTTTATAAGTACCATTGACCGTATTCTGAAAATGACAGGGAATCTTCAGTCATAAAACCTTATCAATCTGGCTGCCTAAAATAGACCCAAATAGACAAAAAACTACAGGAAACCCAGGAATGCTGGGAATGGGAAAAACTATGTCTCCCAGGGATGAAGACCCAGTTGATTATCCAATACCATTCATTATCCCTGAAGTCATAGGTAGCACTAAACAGATTGAGCAGATAGTATTTTATATATTTAGGTACATGTATGTATGTATGTATGTATATATATGTATATATATATATATAATTAAAGAAAGAGAGTCCATTAATTCAAAAGGGAGGGGTTATTTGGGAAGAGTTAATGAGGAATAGGAATGGAGAAATGAGGTCTTATATTTTAATTTTTAAAAAGTATTTTTTTAAAGTAACTGAAAAAGGAGAAAAAAAGGCCCTGGTTCTGGGGAGATGGATGAGGGACAAAGAGTGCTTCCTACCCTGTCAGAGAACTTAAGTTTAATCCGAATGATCATGTCAAGTGACTTACAACCCCCTACAATCCCATCTACAGGGGATCTGATGCCTTTTCTGGCTTCATAGGCACCAGCAGACAGATGGCATATGCCCATATAGACACATAGACATAAATAAAAATAATTTTTTCTTTTAGAAAGGACCACATATCACACCCATGACTGCTCACCCATGGGTGTGCATACCCACGATCTCAGACCAGTGAGCTAAGGGCTCAGGTGGGGAAAGGGAGGTGGGCAGAGGGAATGGAAGGACACTTCTCTTTCCACTGATGATGGACAGGAGCCATGCCTGGGGCATTGCAACCTCAGCTGTCAGCAGTCACTCCTCCTGGTCCATTCTTTGACCACATTACTTTGCATGGTAAGACTGTCACTGATTATCCATTGGTCACCACAACTGACACTAAAGGACCAATGAGCATTGCTGCCATGAATCTTAGTCCTGAGCAGCCATTCTGAGTACTGGTGATCTCCTGCCCCATCTGGTACATCTTCCAGCGCGTTCCCAATGGGCAGCAAGGAGCACCTCCACTTTGCAGGAGGAATGTTCCTATCTTACCTGGTAAGAGCGCAAGCTGATCTTGCCAGACAAGGGCAATATGGGAGTATGCCCATGAGTGGCATGCCATCCATGGCTCCCTCATAGGCCATGCTTTTGGGTTTTGTCCCCTACAGTTGGCAATAAGCATAACTTCTCTTGTCAGTCCTCCTTTCTATGCTCTATCCACAAAGGGGCAGGCCGGAATGCACAACCTCTGAGTTGACATCCAATTGAAGAACAAAGAACAGATTCCCTCCTTACCCGTGGGTTAGATGAGCATCCAGTTGTCCTCCATCTTTACTTAGGTCAGAAGCTTGGGACCATCCAAACTCTACTAACCTCTATAATTTCTGGTAGAAAAAAGAGAGGGGTAAAATTTACTCACAAAGATAGTTCTAGTAAGAAAAAGCCCATCACCTCCTCTGTCTTGGGCTTCGATTTATTTTTCACTAGAATAAATTTGGCCAAGCTATGCCTCTTTTTTTTCACCTAGCAATAGTTTGGGAATTGTCTCCAGCCTTGCTGAAGTGTACACCAGTTCTACTCTCGGGGCTGGGGGTGTGGAATAAAGTCAGTGTGTGATGTTTCATCTTGACTGAAAACCTGACTAGATGAAGAATCACCTAGAAGACACACCTCTGGGCATGTGTGTGAAGGTGTTTCTGGAGAGGCTTAACAGATGAGTAAGACTCACCCTGAATGTAGGCAGGCCCTTGTGGGCTAGGGTCCAGAATTGAAACAAAGAAGGTACTTGAATTGCAAAGACGGCTCAGTTAAGTGTTTGCCTCACAAGCATAATCTGACTCTCAGTGCAGGGTGCTTACAATCCCAGCTCAGGGAAGGAGGATCCCTAGGGCTCACTAGCCTGCCAACTTACAGCTCCAGCCAAGACAGGCCCTATCTCAAAGGATACAGGATGATACCAAAGCTTGCCCTTTGGATGTGCACAAACACCTTCACACACACAGGCACACATTCGAGCACGTGCGCATACACACACACACACATAAGCGTGTGCACACTTGCAGAGCATGTACAGACACACACACAAGCACACACATACACATGAATGTGTGCACACTTGCAGAGCATTACACACACACACACACACACACACACACACACACACACACACACACAGCAACCTGAACACCAGCATTCATCTCTCTGCTTTCTGACTTCAGATACAGGGTGATAAGCTAGTTGCCTCACACTCCTGCTGAGATGCTCTGCCCACCATGATCGACAGGTACCCTCCAACTGTTAGACAAAATAAACCCCTCCTCTAAATTGCTTCTTGTCACTCCTCTGGTTATAGCAATGAGAAGTCAGCAGCAATCTAGTTGAAGCAGGCAGTTAGCAACACAGGTCATTCTGTTGCATCTGTGAGATCAGGTTTCCACCATAGGCAGTGAAAATACTAAATCAAGTAGAACACACCCACACTGGATTTGAAATGACATGGAATGGGGATGGGGCCAGGATCTGTCACTTCCCAGACATCTGACTGAGAAACAGGAACAGTGTGTGTTGTCTATTGCGACTTTAATGGTAAAATGAGAGAGGTGACTGTGTGATTCTCAGCTCCTCCCTTAGCCAAGGACTAAATGAAGCTGTCAGGGCCACCTCACAGCAGCTATGCAGACCCTTGCCACAGTTCAAATGCGGAGTAAAGGGCTTGGTGGGGCGCAACATAGACGGCTGCTGTAGGTGTGGTTGCACTGAATAGAGCAGTGGAAAAACCATTGCAGCGTGCAAGCTTGCTTCCTCTCTGCAGAGAACTGGTGCAGCTGCCCGATCAGATACGGCCTTCAAGTTCAGGTGCGGGCAGCATGCGGAGGCCACCCTTGAAGTGGAGTGCAACCAACAGGCCCAAGATGCCACTGTTAAATTGGATTTGTCTATAGATAGACAGTTTGTCACTGGCATGTAGAGTAAGAATTTGTCATTTATATTGTTCTATGTCTCTCAAAGTCCCAGGCATGCCACAGGAACTGGGTCAGCACATGGTCAGCAGCAAGGGCTATGGTAATCCAGGGAAGCAAGTGCATATCACACTCAGGAGCTTTCTGAGACCCTTCCTGTATTTATAATCCAGCCATTTCATACAAGAGAAAGGTGCCTCTTACCTCCTACGGTTTTTATGTTACTGGCTATGCCTCTGTCTTTCAGTTAAGATCAAGTCTGTTCTTCCCAGAGTCAAGTGTTTTTTTCTATTAAAGATTCCTAAATGAACCTTCTCTTCTAGTCTTGCGATGCTCACATAGTTTCTGGGGGTGATTAAGGTATAGCAAAAATCATCTGAATCCCTAAGCTTTGATTGCATTTAGGAGAAATTATGAAGGCCCAAATTCACCTCCTATTCCTTTTTTCTATCCCTACTGCCCACACACACCTCTTCTTCACTCTAGAAATGACAGGTGCGTAGCGATATGCAATCAGTTATTGAATAAGCTACGCTATTTGTTCTTGAGCCTGTACATGGACTACTTCTTCTAAAAAGCCCCCACTGCTTGGGTAATTCCTTGCGATCCTCAGCTAAGAGGACACAGTCTCTGAAAACTTTTCTTCTGCTTGCATTGCTTTCTCGCCCTTTTTCATAGCATTCTTTACTTCCTGCTGAAGAACAGCTGACAACCTGCAATTACACAGAGAGGGGGTGTACGTTTTGATGGAGGTAAACGATAAATAGGCATGTGTCTCTACTACAAGACAGGGATGTCCTCATTGGTGGGGATTCTGCCATTATCTTCAGCCTCCATCACATACAGTTCCAAAAAACGAAAAGGCCAGCAACTAAATAAAAGTGTCACGCTTTCAACTTGAATCTATTTAGAATATCTTACACATCCCCCCTTCCTAAAGTAAACCTTTGTTCCAAGTGCATAATGCTACCACATACCCTGCAGTCGCGGAGAACCTGAGATTGCATGATTTCAAACTTTAGTGGGAAAACTCCACTGGTTATCCACTGAGAGCAAATGTTGGATGAAAGAGAAACAAAAGAAGTAAGTGCTGGCTCAGACTCTCATCTTCAATCAGGACAAACGGATTTGAGGGAACCAAGAAAACACACAGGGCAGAGCTGTCCCTTTGCTTTTTGCTTCTTTCATCAGTCAATTCCTAGGTAGCCCGGAGCTTGGGAGCCTCGCCAAGCTAAGGAGCCCTAAGTGAAATTGAGGACAGCCAGTACAAAAAGGGCTTGGGGTGATAAGGACCCCGAGAAAAAGAACCCTTAGAAACAACCCTGCCTTCTGCTCCACCTTGGAGATAAATGGAAAGCTGTGAGTTGTCAGGGGTGGGGGATGACGAGAAGAAAGCTGCTGTCAACGGTCTAAAATCCCAAGCAGAAGTTTTGGCTATCATCGCCTTCTTGGGAATTGAACTTTAGGGTCTACCACAGACAAAGAGCCCTTGTAAGCATCCCGTGATTTCAGGCAAGGTCTCAATGGGGTGTGCCTTGGGAGAGAAGAAAACAAGACCAGACCCAACTCACGTTCTGATCTTTGAAGTAACTGAATGGCACTAATTGAACAGTTTTATTCTGCTGTTTCCAATGGGGGGAAAAATCCAATCCTTTCCCAAGGACACCAGCACATAGGCACTCAGCATTTATTTCTTTTTCTTTTCTTGTTTTTAATGTGTGTGGATGGGTGCTTTGCCTGAAAGTATGTCTGTGTACCATGTGGATGAAACACCTGTGGAGGGGCAAGGGGAAGACCTCAGGTGTCCGGGGACCAGAGTTACAGATGGATGGTTGTGAGCCACCATGTGGGAATTGGGAATGGAATTCAGGACACCAGTGCTCTTATCAGCTATGCCTCTCTAGTACTCTATAATTTTTACATAAAATATAGAATATCTGACTTTAAAAAATACAAATCACAACAAGAAATGAGAGCAAATGGCAAGATCCAAGAGGAGGGAAGACAGGTAACAGAGGCTCACAGCTGACCTATGTGACACAATGGTCAAAATCAAATGCTATAATTGCTATGCTTGAAAAATAAAGATGGAAATTTTTATTGGATAATAGTCATCTGTCTTTTGAAAAATCAAAAGGAACTATAATAATTACAAGAAGAATAGATGCCTTTGTAAGGGGGGGCACTCTAGGAAAATAGATGGCAATATAAAATTATCAGAAGCACGGATAGGAAAAGAGAAAAACTATAGAAATAAGCTTAAGTGACATGTGAGACACATGACTAGAGTCCCAGAAAGAGAAGAGAAAGTCAAGAAGGCACAAGAGATTCAGAGACAGCCACTGAGAATTTTCTAAATCTCGGGAAAGACACCAAGCTTTGGGTTAAGCACCTCAAACTCCATTTAGGAGGAATTTTACTTAAAGAAAACAAGTGAGTATTTTACCTAAAGAAAGCCAATCCAAGAACAGCTAGGACTAGAGGAGAACAAATACACAGACTCACAGCAAGACACGGTTTGCAGAGATAGAGACATTACAGCACACAGCTCTCAATGGGATGTCTCCATCGAATCCCTCCACCTCTAGGAGCCTGCAGCAGAGAAGATGGAGTGTAAGTGCCAGAGAGGAAGGGACTCAGAGACTGAAGAGTCAAGCACAGGGCCTATACAACTCTGTGCCAGGTCCTCTGCATATATACCACAGCTTTTAGTTTAGTGCTTTTATGGGGCTGCCGAGTGTGCACACAAGGGGGTCTCTGCGTCATGTGCCTTCTCAAGGGGCTCTTTTATTTTTCTGTTGGTTTTGCTAGTCCACCTTGAATATGGGTTTGTTGTTGTTGTTTTATCTTAGTCCGTTTTATTTTGTTCTTTTCTAACAAGAGACAGAAAGGGAGTGGATCTGAATGGGAGAGAGATGTGCAGCAACTGGGAGAAGCACAGGGAGGGGAAACTGAATTCAGATTAAAAAATTAAAAACTATTAAAGAGAAACAGGACTTTAATGTTAAAAATAAAGTCATATACCCCCCACCAGAAAAAGAACAGCTAGGATGGAGGAGGAGGCAGTAGGGATGGGGAAACAGCATACTCAGGCATGATTGCTCCATTAGGGACTCATGAAGCCTTTCTTATCCATGTTGCTAAAATTCAAATAAGGACAAATGTGCAGGTGATGCTCTCCCATAGGCCTCAAATAAAAATGTTGTCAATTCAGGAAGAAATTCTACTAGACATCCATTTTAACATATGAAATCTATTTTTACTGTTTTAGGAATCTGTGATTCATTGTATAAGAAGGAAATATTTTACTGAAATCTAATGAGTCCTCAACTCTGAGAATGACCCTGGAAAATTCATCCGTTATTAAGGACCAACTACATAGTGATCCACACTCATCATTTCACTTTCTAGAGCTCCAGGCCTGT